ATAATCCTGCATTATAAAATGAATTGTAGAAATAATCCCAAATTCTATTAATCCTGCAGTATGAAATGGGGCTAAAAATAATCCCAAATGATATTAATCCTGCACTAGAATACCGTCAAGTAGAAATAATCTCAGGTTACATGAACCCTGTGCTATAGATTGAACCATACAAATAATCCCAGGTTATATTAATCCCATTCTATAAATTTAACCATAGAAATAATCTCAAGTTATATTAATCCTGCACTATAGAGCAAACCATAGAAATAATCCCAGGTTAAAGTAATCCTGTGCTATAGGACAAAATGTAGAAATAATCTCATGTTGTGTTAATCCCATGCTATAAAATGATTAATAGAAATAATCTCAAGTTATACTAATCCCATGCTATAAAACAAACTGTAGAAATAATCCCAGGATAGATTAATCCTGTGCTATAAGACGAACTGTAGAAATAATCCCAGGATAGATTAATCCAGCACTGTAAAACGAACTGTAGAAATAATCCCAGGGTAGATTAATCCTGCACCATAAAATGAACTGTAGAAATAATCCCAGGTTAAAGTAATCCTGTGCTATAGGACAAACTGTAGAAATAATCTCATGTTGTATTAATCCCATGCTATAAAATAATTAATGGAAATAATCTCAAATTATACTAATCCCATGCTATAAAACAAGCCATAGAAATAATCCCAGGATAGATTATCCTGCACGTAAAATGAACTATAGAAATAATCCCAGGCTATATTAATCCCGTGCCATAAAACGAAATGTAGAAATAATCTGATTCATGCTATAAAATGAATCATAGAAATAATTCCAGGTTTTATGTATGAAGTGCCTCTTTAATATTGTCTTTTAATTTTGTCCGATTTCGCTGACAAATAACAAATTGATGCTAATTTTAAGCTGAAGTGCCTCTTGAATGTTGTCCGATTCCTCCAATCAGACATCAGGCCCTCATTATAAAGCAGTATAGATGTGCTGTGTAGTTTTATTCTGAAAAGAAATGCTGAGTATATTTTTATTCCACCATCAGCCGTTTTCAGGCTTCAGCAGACAGACGCAGTATTTTCGTTTGTAATTTGCTCAGATTGTCATATTGATTATGAGTCTTTGTTGCCGACTGAGTAATTTAGTCTTTCCTTTTTTATACCTCTCCATCGCTCTTATCTCTCCGTCCATTTCTCTATCTCAGCATCTTTCTATCTCTTCATCTGTTCCTCTCTATCTGTCCGTTTATCAGTCCATCTCGTCTTTCCTTTGTCCTCTGAGAGCCAGTGCGGCTCCTGTGTTTGTGAGTGTGTCAGTAATGCGCCGGATTCATGTGGGGAGGTTTTGATTTAGTGCAGTAAGTTAATTTAAAGCCTTTACAGAGAGCTGTTTCCACCGCGCTGACGGCGGAGAGTAATACAGTAGCACTTCACACTGCGGAGGAGACGCGTGTCGAGGATCATCGCCAGCGCTCGGCTTTAACCCTAGACGTCGCTGACTGGAGTTGTCGCTGTCGTTCTGCTGTGTTATTCAACTGTAATTACATAATAATTCACTCAGCTGTTACTGAATCACATTTACATTTGATTTCTGTTCTGTACTGACAGCTTCGAGCCTGAACTTCTGACTTCATTCTCTTTGTTTTGATGTCAAAAATGGTCAAATGTGAGCTGGTCAGACTGTCGACCTCTGTGGTTTAACTGTGCGTTTCCTCGTGCTGCTTCAGGAAACACTAAATGACAGTGGAAAACAAGAATTTGTGAACACAAATTTGCAGTTAGAACCAAGTGAGAGATCAGACTCCTCCATAAAGGATGCGGTGATGTTAGAGCTTATTGTTTTATGGGTTCGGAAGGAGTGGGCGGAGACTGTGACAGGCACTGTTGTTGTTCAAAAATGCTTTCAAAAATGTCCTTTTTATTTGAGTGAGATTTGCTCATATAAGAAATATCAGCGCAATATTATGATTGATAGTTTTGGTTGACTGAAAGGGGTTTTGAATGTACTAGGTGGAGTTTTGATCGTGTTGACAGGGGTTTTGGTTGTACTAGGAAGGGTTTCTGTTGTACTGGGAGGGGTTTTGTTTGTACTGGGAGGAGTTTTGGTTGTACTGGGAGGGGTTTTGGCTGTAATAGGAGGGACAACTACGGGGTTGAACTGGGAGGAGTTTTGGTTGTACTGGGAGGAGTTTCGGTTATACGGGGAGGGGTTTTGGTTGTACTGGGAGGAGTTTCAGTTATACTGGGAGGAGTTTTAGTTGTACTAGGAGGGGTTTTGGTTCTACAGTCTAATTATTGTGGGGGTGACATGTTGATTATCATATAAGTGTGTTCAGCCCTCTAATTCACCCCCCCCCCAACCCCCCCAGTATTGGCTGCCTACTTCCTCTGTAGTGCTGCTGTTAGTGAGGGAGACCAGGAGAGGAAATAGGAGGAAATGAAAATGGGAAAAGTAATCTTTCCTGGCAGTCAATCTGACACAGATTCACAGCTTACACCATTCCCCCCGAAACGTCTCCGTCTGCCTGTCACTCCTGTTAACCTGCTGGCTCCCCCACGGCACATTCACCTCCAGCTCCTCTGCCTACATCGTATATTAATTATTTCGCGCTCGGAGCTCATTGAAACACGCAGAGGAATTCTGTCGAGCGCAGATTCCAAATTTAAAGTAGAAGACGAGACGTCTGAATGTCATTTGAATTGGGTGAAAAGTTATACTTGACATGTTTTGCCGTGTTCTGTGTCATTTTTTGATACTGAAACAATCAGAGGAGTGCAGACGCTAACCTGACGGTACAGAATGCAACTCAAAACTATATGTTACTCACTGTGTCATAAATCATGTAATTCATATCCAGAGTGAACTTTTACTAAAATTGATATCCAGAGTGAAGTTTTACTAAAATTGACATTCAGAATAAAGTTTTACTAAAATTGATATTCAGAGTGAAGTTTTACTAGAATTGATATCCAGAATGAAGTTTTACTAAAATTGATATTCAGAGTGAAGTTTTACTAAAATTGATATTCAGAATGAAGTTTTACTAAAATTGATATTCAGAGTGAAGTTTTACTAAAATTGATATTTACAAAGTGAAGTTTTACTAAAATTGATATCCAAATGAAGTTTTACTAAAATTGATATCAGAGTGAAGTTTTACTAAAATTGATATCAGATGAGTTTTATAAAATGTTTCAGAAGTTTTACTAAAATTGATATCCAGAATGAAGTTTTACTAAAATTGATATTCAGAGTGAAGTTTTACTAAAATTGATATCCAGAATGAAGTTTTACTAAAATTGATATCCAGAGTGAAGTTTTACTAAAATTGACATTCAGAATAAAGTTTTACTAAATTGATATCCAGAATGAAGTTTTACTAAAATTGATATTCAGAGTCAAGTTTTACTAAAATTGATATCCAGAGTGAAGTTTTACTAAAATTGATATCCAGAGTGAAGTTTTACTAAAATTGATATCAGATTGATATCAGAATGAAGTTTTACTAAAATTAATATTCAGAGTGAAGTTTTACTAAAATTGATATCCAGAGTGAAGTTTTACTAAAATTGATATCCAGAGTGAAGTTTTACTAAAATTGATATTCAGAGTGAAGTTTTACTAGAATTGATATTCAGAATGAAGTTTTACTAAAATTAATATTCAGAGTGAAGTTTTACTAAAATTGATATCCAGAATGAAGTTTTACTAAAATTGATATTCAGAGTGAAGTTTTACTAAAATTGATATCCAGAGTGAAGTTTTACTAAAATTGATATCCAGAATGAAGTTTTACTAAAATTGATATTCAGAGTGAAGTTTTACTAAAATTGATATCCAGAATGAAGTTTTACTAAAATTGATATCCAGAATAAGGTTTTACTAAAATTGATATTCAGAGTGAAGTTTTACTAAATTGATATTCAGAGTGAAGTTTTACTAAAATTGATATCCAGAATGAAGTTTTACTAAAATTGATATCCAGAATGAAGTTTTACTAAAATTGATATCCAGAGTGAAGTTTTACTAAAATTGATATCCAGAATGAAGTTTTACTAAAATTGATATTCAGAATGAAGTTTTACTAAAATTGATATTCAGAGTGAAGTTTTACTAAAATTGATATTTAAAGTGAAGTTTTACTAAAATTGATATCCAGAATGAACTTTTACTAAAATTGATATCCAGAATGAAGTTTTACTAAAATTGATATCCAGAATGAAGTTTTACTAAAATTGATATTTAATGTGAAGTTTTACTAAAATTGATATTTAATGTGAAGTTTTACTAAAATTGATATTCAGAGTGAAGTTTACTAAAATTGATATTTAAAGTGAAGTTTTACTAAAATTCATATTCAGAGTGAAGTTTTACTAAAATTGATACCCAGAGTGAAGTTTTAATAAAGAGTTTTCCAGAGTTTAGTTGTAATTAAATGAACCTTCAGAGTGAAGTTTTAATAACAGTAGGACCTAGAACATGTTCATTAATTAATGTGTTTCAATAAAAGAGCTGAAATGTGGTCATTTTATAGAAAATAATATTATAAATATTGTAAATTGCAGAATTCTTTTTTAACAATGCTGATCAAATAGATAACTTCGTGAGAAAATAGAACATTTCAGTATAGTATTTATTGTGTAATATGGTCCCAAAACAAAACAGAAATTTCTGAAAATGTAGTCTAGACTGTGTAAGTTATTATTCAGTAAAATAACAGCAAGAAATGATTCCCCACTTTTGAACGGTAGTGTAAACGATAAAATAGCGCTGTCGGACGATACTCAAGGTCTCAGTATCAGTTTTGGTATCAGAGAAGAAAAGTGGGATCATGCCATCCTTAAAGAACACAAAGATTTTTTCTTAAGGTTTAAATGTTCATTTAACTGACTTCTTGTTTCTCTCTCTCTTGCCCCCCCCCCTCCTTTTCTCCTCAGAGTGTGTGTTGTGAAGTGTCAGAGTGTTGTTGATTGGTGAGAGTGTGTGTGAGTGTGTGAGTGTGTGTAATGATGGATGACAGTGTGTATCAGTCTCTCTCTCGCCCGAGACCCGGGATGGAGCTCAGCTACTCCAGCTCGTCTGAGGAAGACGAGGGAACCGACCTTCGTCACAAGCACTACCGCGACACGCACTCGCACACGCACTCCGACTACGAGCCGGACCGCCGGTTCACCTACAACAGCCACAAGGTCCGCAGGAAACCCCACGACCCCATCCAGAAAGGTGAGCATGTGAAGGTGTGCAGGTTTACTAGTTAGTTTACAGGTTTTCTTACAATTGGTTACGACTTTTCTTTGTTTTTCTGAAGACTCTCTTTATTTCCTTTCACCAACATCCAACTGTGAGGCTCGGCGCTACTGGACTGTGTGTGTGTGTGTGTGTGTATATATATATGTGTGTGTGTGTGTGTGTATATATATATATATGTGTGTGTGTGTGTGTGTGTGTGTGTGTATATATATATATATGTGTGTGTGTGTATATATATATATATGTGTGTGTGTGTGTGTGTGTGTGTGTGTGTGTGTATATATATATGTGTGTGTGTGTGTGTGTGTGTGTGTGTGTGTGTGTGTGTGTGTATATATATATATATGTGTGTGTGTGTGTGTGTGTGTGTGCTCTGTTGTAGGTATGCTGGTGCAATATGGCTGCCGCTTTACACCGTTTTTTCATTTACTCATTTGTTTGTGTACGTTTTGATATTTTCCTGCTGGCTGAGCCGTTTGCCATCATATCCACCAAGATGGCGACTGAGAGCGATTTTCCAGCTGTGGCTCAGAGGCTTCTGGGGCTGCCTGTTTGGGTGACGCTACATCACAGCTATGATGCAGCCTGGACCGGCCACTTAAGTGATGCTGTATCGTGGTTATGAGGTTCTCTGGATTGGGGACCTGATTGATGTGGGCTGGCTGAACCGGTAGTGTTCGGCTGCATGAGCAGTGCTACCCTGCAGCTATGAGGCCTCTTGGACCGGCTGCCTAAGTGATGCTACATTGCAGCTACATTACTGCCTGGGCCGGCCACTTGGTTATCGCTGTACTGCAGCTGTGGGGCTGTCTGGACCAGCTGCCTATGCGACGCTACATTGCAGCTTCATTGCTGCTTGGGCCGGCAACCTGGGTGACGCTGCACTGCAGCTATGTGGCTGCTTGGGACGGCCACTTGGGTGACTCTGCACTGGTGTTCGACTGCAGGGAAACGCTCCCTCTTTGTGGTTGAGGACATTTTCAGCCTTCGAGGCTTCCCAGGCTGGCCTTCTGTGTGATGCACCGTAAGTGAGGTGTGAGACTTTTCCCGCGGCTCAGGCCCCTTTTTTCAGGCTAGCTAAGTGACTCTATACCGTGGTCAATGAAATCCCCCCTGCTAGCTGTGGGAACCATGGAGTGTGTGTGTGCGTGTGTGTGTTTGTGTGTGTGTGTGTGTGTGTGTGTGTGTGCGTGCGTGTGTGTGTGTGTGTGTGTGTGTGTGTTATGTATTGTTGATTATGTATTTTGATACTTTGTGATTGTTGACTGTCCTTTGGGAAAGGCGCTATATAAATAAAAGTGATGATGATGATGGTGATGATGATGATGAACTGCACTCAAACACACAACCAGAGACGGACTGGACATCAGGAGGACTGGGGCACCTCCCGGTGGGCCGCTATGTGGGTGGGAGATGTAGCCCTACATTTAAAATAAAAAAGATGGTTGTTCAAGGGTTCTTTGGGAAAGAAAATGGTTCTATGTAGAACCTTTTTGAAAAGGGTTCTACATAGCACCAAAAAGTGTTCTTCTATTGTGACAAGCTTGACATCGTAACAATAAAAGAACGCTTTTTGGTGCTGTGTAGAACCCTTTTCAAAAAAGTGCCATATAGAAATATGAACACGTAAATAACCCTTTGCATGATTGAAGGGTTCTTTGCATCGTGAGAGCGTTCTTCAGATTGATGGAGAATGTGCTGTAAATGGTTCTATGTAGAATCTTTTTGAAAAGGGGTCTGTATAGCACCAAGAGTTCTTTTATTGAAACAAGCTGGACAAAACCCTTTTGGTGCTATATAGAACCTTTTTCAAAAAGGTCCTCCATAGCACCATACAAAACACATTCTCCGACCGTCTGAAGAAGGTTTTGTGATAGAACCCTTAAAGAACGATCTTTTTTCTAAGTGTGTATAAGATGTATGGAGACCACTCAGAATTTTGAACACCCCAAAATCAACTCGTTCTGCTGGGATGGTACCCTACAGGGTACGTCTTCAGCATCTTTAGTTAGAGAACCTAATTGTACCATATTCTATGGCAGTTATGCTGTAAGTTGCACTGACTCTACACGCCCTGTTCTGACTCTAGACCTATTACGCTTTACCAGTTGCCCTCTTTCCTTTCAGGGTGTGGTACCTTTTTGTGCATGTAAATGTTCTGCCAAGTTCCCTCCAGAGGGAAAGACTCTCTCCCACAGAACCCACTTTTCTCAGCCACCTGAAACGCCTCGTTGGAATTCCAGTCCTTTGCCTTTGTTCCAAGATGACATCATCTCATAACACAGTCCTTACTGCCTGCCTACTGGCGAGCTCGGCCCTCAACCCGCCCTCACACAGTGCACAGCGGCTACTGAAGGAGGAAGACTGTGTTCAGTGTTGTAGTGTGTGGAGAAGACGCTGACTGGACTTTCAGGATCCATCAAATTGATCTGGCAGAACCAACAAACGGAACCAGAAAAACAGCCACAGCGGAGTTAACAGCTGCTCAGGAGAGAAGGGTCTGTCTGCAGACTGCAGGACAGGGGCGGAACATGGAGGGTGAAACTGCTGTAGAGGCTGACCGATCAGAACAGAGTGGGCGACCTGACCAATCAGAGCAGACTGGGCTCATCGGGAGGCGGGGCTTAAAGACGCATGAGCTCTAACAGAGCGTTTCAGACAGGTTGTATAGAGATGAACCGTACGCGGAAAACAGGTGTTTTCGGAATGTTGAAGCTGTAAATCTATTCTAGTAGACGGAAAATAAAATTGTGAACATTGAAAATGAGCATTAATGTCCTCTATAACTGAGAAGTTACAGCGTGAAAATTCAAGTTGTAATAGTATCGCAGTGCAAGCACACATTACACAAACAGACTCAGGCCTAACATTATACATGAGTTCTCACTAATGATGTGTTAGTTAGTGAGGGGGTTTAAATCTGCTCATGTTTGTCAGTGTGTGTGTGTTTCGGGGGGGTGGTAGTGATTTACTCCCTCTTTCATCTGACGTGTTTCACATTAAAAATGCATTTGCTCTGTTTAAGCCTGTAAGGAGAAGTGTTTTAATTAAAACGCACACAAAACACAAAACACATGCACTCTAAATGGCCCACAATGAAAGAAGAAGCCAAAATGAATAGAATTTTTAATGCTGCTCTGTGTTTATTGAACAAGGTCTGAAACTATGGCTTTTGTGTAAAGGCTGCAGGTGTTTGTGTTGGTGTGTTGAATGATTGGGTTAGGGTTGTGTAACAGTGGTGTATGGTGGTTGGTATTCTTCTGCTGTGTAGATGTAAACGTCTCCGTTTTTAACTCTGAATCAAAAACACACCGCAAAGTCCTAAGAAAGACCCTCAGCAGCTGCAGACTACTTGTATTGCACTTCGTTTTGCCTCGCAGAGGGAGCTACTGCCATGGCTGCTGGCCACGTCTACCATTTTCTCACCTAGTTTTACAGAACACTGCTGTGTAAAACTCCACCAGAAGCTTGCAAGTGTCAACTGACTCCACAACATCACCACATATGTCTTTCTAAGACACATTGGGGTTCATCATACCACCAGGTGATTCTAGGATTAACCCACTGGGGTCCATGAACTCACTCGTGTGTCAAATTCTCTGTCTCTGTATCTGTTTGTGTATCTTTGTGATGATCCAGCTCAGAAATCCAGTTCAAACACTTCCTGAGTCTGTAGAGTCGCCCTTTCCATTCCATCTTATCTCGAGATCATACGAGACTCACATCCGGAGTCATGAGCCTATGAAGAGGGGCTGAGATACGCGTCATCTGCCTCTCACCGTGTGGAACTGGTGGATTCGTGTGTCCATCTACATTGTGTGTGAAACTGACCTATGGACACTCAGGAAATCACTAAGGACTGACCATCACGCCGGAAACCCTTCATTCTTCATTCAGTCCACATTGGAGACACATGTGAAATGGCGTGCAGAGAGTTTACAGCTGCATTTTGATGTGAAACGTATGAGGATCATGTTATATGAAGAGCTTTTAAAGGAGAGTTTAAGAAGATATGAACAAATCGAGAAAATGACCAGAACCCAGAGCCCAGAGGGTCAACTGAGTAACTCCAAAGTGCCGTGTAGTTAGTTGGGTTGAAAATCGGTAGGCTGGCCACTCCTGGGAAGGTTCACACTGTTCCAGGTTTCCTCCATTTGTGGATAACAGCTCTCATTGTGGTTCTCTGGAGTCCAGTGGCTTTGTAACCCTTTCCAGACTGATAGATCTCACCGACTTTGCTTCACGTCTGTATTTAAATCACTTTAAAATGCGGCATCATGTGCTGCTTTTTGAGACCATCTAGCTGCTTCACATCGCCAGACAGGTTCTATTGAAGAGATGTTTAGATGCAACAGGTCTGGCGGTGATCATGTTTGGGTGTGGTTAGCGAAATGAACTCAGTAGTCAATTAAATTTGGTTAACAGGTTGCTTTAGTAACTAAGGGGGCAATTACTTTTTCACATGTGGCCAGCTAAGGCAGAACAACATTTTTCCTTCAATTAATAAAATCATGTAAAAAGAGCATTTTGTGTTTATTTGGGTTATTTTTGTCTAATATTAAAAATAATTTGATGATCTGAAACATTCAAGTGTTACAAATATGCAACAATAGAAGAAACTGGGAAGGGAGCAAATACTTTTTCACAGTATTGTAAATGTGACAAATTAGAATATTCAAATATATATACATATATGTATGTGTGTGTGTGTTTGTGTGTGTGTGTTGGAGTTAAAATCTCTCTTACAGTTTATTCAGATTTTGCGAGTTGAATAAAGCATACTTTTCCAGTTACCACGGAAACAGCAGGAGATGAGCTGGAGCCTGAGCGAGTGTGTCCGCGTATGTGTGTGTGTGTCCGCGTATGTGTGTGTGTCCGCGTATGTGTGTGTGTCCGTGTGTGTGTGTGTGTCCGTGTGTGTGTCTTTGGGTTGGAGTCGGAGACGCGGGGTCGTGTTCTGTTTGAAGGACGATGGGAGTGTGTGTGTAATTAGTACTCTGATGATAGCAGCACAAGTACTGGTCTGCAGGGTCGTCACGGTAACTGAACTCGGGAGGGTCGCTACGGAGACAGGAGTCAGGAGGGTTGTCGTGACGATAAGAGGATTCTTCAGAGCGCTTCAGAGAGGGCACAACCCTCTCTCTCTCTTACATACACACACTTGAAGACTCCACACTTACACTCACTTAAACACCTCACACCTAAACACACACACACACACACACACCACACACACACACTCACACACACACTCACACACACACACACACACACACTAAAACAATTTCACCAACCTAACATAGAGAGACTGGAATGTTGAGACAAAGAAAGGAAGAGAGACAGTATTATTTATTGTCAGTAATTATTATCAATTTTCAATAATATATATACACGCATATGCGCATATATATATATATATGATTATAATGTGTTTGTGTCCAACAAGCTTTTAACACACCGCTCTTTCCAACTCGTTTTCAGGGTTCTGCGGAGAACTCCACCACTTTTCCAAAATGTTCTGCATTATTCAGTGTGTGAGATGTAAACAGAGTGATTCAGAGTGGTTTGGTGTGAAATGGTTCAGATGTCTGTACAGTGGTGGTGATAGGAACCAGGGGTCGCCATGACTACAACACAAATATAGACATTTTATTTTCTATCCAGAACCACCAGTGAACCTACATGTGTCATATGAGTTCGTGGTAAATCTGAAAGAGTCATCATGCATATATACCCTAAAAGAGTTTACGTGTTTATACCACAATACCTACATTTAGAGTCAGTTATTCATTCAGCCTAATGACCTCTCTCTCTCTCTCTCTCTCTCTCTCTCTCTCTCTCTCTCTCTCTCTCTCTCTCTCTCTCACAGAATCGGCTCAGATGGCTTTTCCGGACTTCCAGACTGAGCTCCATTCAGCCAATCAAGAGCTGGCATACCCTGGAGGTGGCGCTTCAGTGGGGATGGCCTCTGACCCTGAGTCTGAGGGTGGAGCTTCTCCTGACCACGCCCTCCGGCTGTGGATGCAGGAAGTGAAGTCAGAGCGTACTTCCTGTGTTTCAAGCCGAGCGAATTCCGTCCTGTCGCTGACCGATACGGAGCAGGAGGGACGGGGCGAGCAGGACAACGACAACGGTGAGGACAAGATACGTGTACATGCAGGATCAGTGACAACACGGCCCAGCACAGCTACATTACAGAACTGTGCTAGCTACATTTATAGAACTGTGCTAGCTACAATATAGAACTGTGCTAGCTACATTTATAGAACTGTGCTAGCTACATTATAGAACTGTGCTAGCTACATTATAGAACTGTGCTAGCTACATTTATAGAACTCTGCTAGCTACATTATAGAACTGTGCTAGCTACATTTATAGAACTCTGCTAGCTACATTTATAGAACTGTGCTCACTACCATTATAGAACTGTGCTAGCTACATTTATAGAACTGTGCTCACTACCATTATAGAACTGTGCTAGCTACATTATAGAACTGTGCTAGCTACATTTATAGAACTGTGCTCGCTACATTATAGAACTGTGCTAGCTACATTATAGAACTGTGCTAGCTACATTTATAGAACTGTGCTAGCTACATTATAGAACTGTGCTGGCTACATTATAGAACTGTGCTCACTACCATTATAGAACTGTGCTAGCTATATTTATAGAACTGTGCTCACTACATTATAGAACTGTGCTAGCTACATTATAGAACTGTGCTCGCTACATTATAGAACTGTGCTAGCTACATTATAGAACTGTGCTAGCTACATTATAGAACTCTGCTAGCTACATTTATAGAACTGTGCTCACTACCATTATAGAACTGTGCTAGCTACATTTATAGAACTGTGCTCACTACCATTATAGAACTGTGCTAGCTACATTATAGAACTGTGCTAGCTACATTATAGAACTGTGCTAGCTACATTATAGAACTGTGCTGGCTACATTATAGAACTGTGCTCACTACCATTATAGAACTGTGCTAGCTATATTTATAGAACTGTGCTCACTACATTATAGAACTGTGCTAGCTACATTATAGAACTGTGCTCGCTACATTATAGAACTGTGCTAGCTACATTATAGAACTGTGCTAACTACATTTATAGAACTGTGCTAACTACATTGTAGAACTGTGCTAGCTACATTATGGAACTGTGCTAGCTGCATTTATAGAACTGTGCTAGCTACATTATAGAACTGTGCTAGCTACATTTATAGAACTGTGCTCGCTACATTATAGAACTATAGCTACATTATAGAACTGTGCTCGCTACAATGTAGAACTGTGCTAGCTACATTATAGAACTGTGCTAGCTACATTATGGAACTGTTCTCGCTACATTATAGAACTATAGCTACATTATAGAACTGTGCTCACTACATTATAGAACTGTGCTGGCTACAATGTAGAACTGTGCTCACTACATTATAGAACTGTGCGAGCTACATTATAGAACTGTGCTAGCTATATTATAGAACTGTGCTCACTCCATTATAGAACTGTGCTAGCTACATTTATAGAACTGTGCTCACTACATTGTAGAACTGTGCTAGCTACATTTATAGAACTGTGCTAGCTACATTATAGAACTATAGCTACATTATAGAACTGTGCTCACTACATTATAGAACTGTGCTAGCTACATTATAGAACTGTGCTAGCTACATTATAGAACTATAGCTACATTATAGAACTGTGCTCACTACAATGTAGAACTGTGCTAGCTACATTATAGAACTATAGCTACATTATAGAACTGTGCTAGCTACAGTGTAGAACTGTGCTTGCTACAATGTAGAACTGTGCTAGCTACATTATAGAACTATAGCTACATTATAGAACTGTGCTAGCTACAGTGTAGAACTGTGCTTGCTACAATGTAGAACTGTGCTAGCTACATTATAGAACTATAGCTACATTATAGAACTGTGCTAGCTACAATATAGAACTGTGCTGGCTACATTATAGAACTATAGCTACATTATAGAACTGTGCAAAGTTACATACTAAGGTATTGTACTAAGCTATATTATAGAACTGTGCTAGCTACATTGTAGAACTGTGCTCACTACATTATAGAACTGTGCTAGCTACAGTATAGAACTGTGCTAGCTACATTGTAGAACTGTGCTCACTACATTATAGAACTGTGCTAGCTACATTGTAGAACTGTGCTCACTACAGTATAGAACTGTGCTAGCTACATTGTAGAACTGTGCTCACTGCATTATAGAACTGTGCTAGCTACATTATAGAACTGTGCTCACTACATTATAGAACTGTGCTAGCTACAGTATAGAACTGTGCTGGGTACATTATAGAACTGTGCTAGCTACATTATAGAACTGCTCACTACATTATAGAACTGTGCTAGCTACAGTATAGAACTGTGCTAGCTACATTATAGAACTGTGCTGGGTACATTATAGAACTGTGCTCACTACATTATAGAACTGTGCTAGCTACAGTATAGAACTGTGCTCACTACATTATAGAACTGTGCTAGCTACAGTATAGAACTGTGCTAGCTACATTATAGAACTGTGCTGGGTACATTATAGAACTGTGCTAGCTACATTATAGAACTGTGCTGGGTACATTATAGAACTGTGCTGGGTACATTATAGAACTGTGCTAGCTACATTATGGAACTGTGCTCGCTACATCATAGAACTGTGCTCGCTACATTATGGAACTGTACTAGCTACATTCCATATGTATGCAGTTAGCCGACTCTCAGTCTGCTAACTCGCTAAGCAAACAATAAAAACCAAGCTTGAGCGTAATTCTGAGATAACTACATACTGATGAGAGTGCAGTGCTGCACACTGACCTATACTAAAGATGACCAGCGAGGCTGGCGACAGCGTGGTGACTAGTGTGGCTGCGGTTAGCTGAGCAGCTAACATCACATGAAGCAAGCTCACTAACACAAACGCTAAAATCACAGAAATAAAGATAATCGCACTGCATCTCCACTGACTGCACTGTAAGAACAGTTCGTCAGTTTACTCAGTGTGGTAAACCTGCTGATACCAGTAAGTCTTTCTGCTGGTTTATGTTGTGTTTTGGCTTTTCTTGATTGGGTGATATCACAGTAGGGTCCTAATGGTTTACCAGCTGACCTGTGACTGATACCAGCTGTATCTGATGGCTTCCTAATGGGATCTAAAGGTGTCCTGAAGGAACCTGGTGGTCTCCAGTTGCACCATTAAGCCAATAAGAAGAAGCAGTTGAATTAGTTCTGTTCAGCTCAGATTAAAACTTTGAAAAAATGAATGGTTCATTCAGAGACCCATATGGTCCAAATGTATTTAACAAATATATTTTTACAATGTATGAAAATGGACAAAAATGTATTTGTAAATATACTTTAAAAATGCATTTAGCATATTTTTTCAGTTTGATATTTATTTTTTCAGATGTAACTAAATATATGAGCTGAATGAACAGCACTGACTTCATTGTTCTGCCAGTTCACACTGAAAATGAACTAGTTCAAAGTTCACAGTTCCTAAAACGAACTAGTTCATGTTCATTTGTTTCTTTTCACTGTTCTTTTTCAATAGAACCTCTTTCTACCCATCCATCACCAGCCCCAAATCATTGGACCCTCCAGATTAACCTGTACTGCTGTTACTGTGACAGCACCAGACAAAAACTGTAATGTAAACAAAGGTTCCGGCTCAAACACACGTCTGCAGTTAAGTCTCCACCGCCAGCACCAGACATGCTTGGCTGTGTTTATTGAAGCTTCATGCGGCATTCACTCTCGCGAGAGTGTTAGCATTCGCGTTCATTATTTGTAAACTGATTTGTTCAGTTCAGTGTTCATAAAAAATATGAACATGTTCAATGATGTTCAACGGCGTTCATGCAGAACACTGACTGACTTCACATTAACCAGGTACGTCTGCAGTGAGACTCTCACACACAGTGTACTTCAGATAAACCAGATATCAGATCATAACTGCATTTTCACAGAGTATCTATACTACAACACTCGCTTCTGTCCTGTTAAAGGATCATCTGATCAGATTTAAAATGAAGATACTGGAATACAAACTCATTTCTAAAGGTATCAGACAGTAAACAGTGCATCAGACAGGACTTTCATACATTTTCAAATGGATTTGATAAACATATTCACATACGTTTATTTTTGTTTGGTACATCTCTCTGTGTAATATTACCTCATACATTTTAAAATAAATGTATTTTAAAATATATTTGGTTAATATGGTAATATATGCTGAAATACATGTTAGTGTTTGGAGTGTATCTCAGTATGAACTGCAGTGTGTTTGAAATGTATAAAATTACATGTCCATATATTTTTTTTTCCCATATGGGGATCCGTTTAAACAGCATACGTAATCAGTTCTCTTTGAAGTTTTATGAAGCTCCACCTTTTCATAGACCAGCACAGCAGCTCAGCTCCATTGAAGTGAATGTAATTTTGCTCATGAAGGTTCACTTGCAAATGTAAACATTACTGGGCTTTTATGCTGTTGATGAAGGTGGTGAGGATGATGTTGAGGTCATGGAGTTTTAATGAGGCGATCCACAGAGGGAGGTTCATACACAGTTAAACAGACATCCTGCCCTGCTAAACACACACACACACACACACACACACACACATACACACACACACACACACACACACACACACATACACACACACACACACACACTCAGGTCCCTCTCCACTACTCACTGATGCAGTATTCATACACTCTGCTATTAAATGCTGAAGTATTTATAACACACACACACACACACACACACACACACACATACACACACGCACTACAGTGAACCTGAGACACTGTCTGTCTGATTAGTCGTATGCAAATGTTTGACCAACTGCGGTCAGATAAAATAGCTTTGTTGAGGTTCGAAGTGAAACTAAGTTAAGCGGGAACTCAGTGTTTGAGGTGTAATCAGAGAGATTCAGAGTGGTTTGGTGTGAAATGGTTCAGATGTCTTTACAGTGGTGGTGATAGGAACCAGGGGTCGCCATGACTACAACACAGATATAGACATTTTATGTACTATCCAGAACCACCAGTGAACCTACACGAGTCTTCTGAGTTTATATGGAATGTTGATGATG